TATTTATTTTTAGTTTTCAGCATTCAATTCCACAAGATTTTGAGTTCCAAATTTTCTTCCCATCTCATCCCTCCCCCCACCCCAAAATGGCAGGCTTTCTGAATACCCCTAATCTTCCCTCTCTTCTATCTCTCTCCCCCTTGTCTTGTCCTCTTCCCCTTCAATTTTCCTGTAGGTCAGGATAGATTTCTATACCCCATTTCCTGTATAATTTCCCAGTTGCATGTGAAAACAGTTTTTTTTTTAATCTTTTGTTTTTAAAATTTTGGGTTCCAAATTTTCTCCCTTCCTCCCTCCCCACCCATCCTCATTAAGAAGGCAAATAACTCAATACAGGTGTAGTCATGCAAAACACTTCCATTGTAGTCATGTTGTGAAAAACTAAGTATATTTCCCTTCATCCTATCCCACCCCCCATTTATTCTATTCTCTCTTTTGACCCTGTCCCTCTCTAGAAGTGTTTGCTTCTGATTACCCCTACCCCAATCTGCCCTCCCCTCTATCATCCTCCTGCTCTCTTGTCCCCTTCCCCCCCTATTTTCTGTAGGGTAAGATAGAATTCCATACCCAGTTGAGTGTGTATGTTATTCTCTCCTTAAGCCAAGTTTGATGAGAATAAGACTCACCCATTCCCTCTCACCTTACACCTGTTTCCCCTTCACTGTAAAAGCCTTTTCTTGTCTGTTTTATGTGAGATAATTTACCCCATTCTACCTCTCCCTTTTTCCTTCTCCCAGTGTAATCCTCTCTCAACCCTTAATTTTATTCTCCAGATATCACCCCTTCATCTTCAACTCACCCTGTGTCCTCTATTTATCTGTGTGTCTATCTATCTAACTATACATACATAAAATTTTTTCCCTCCAATCACTCTTATACTGACAAAGGACTCATGAGTTACAAATATCATCTTTCTGTGTAGAATGTAAATAGTTCAACCTTAATAAGTCTCTTATGATTTCTCTTTACTGTTTACCTCTTCATATTTCTCTTGAGTCTTATATCTGAAAGCCAAATTTTCTGTTCAGCTTTGGTCTTTTCATCAAGAATGCTTGAAAGTCCTCTACTTCACTGAATGTCCAATTTTTTCCCTTAAAGGATTATGCTTAGTTTTGCTGGGTGGGTGATTCTTGGTTGTAACTCTATCTCCTTTGTCCTCTGGAATATTATATTCCAAGCCCTCTGGTCCCTTAATGTAGAAGCTGCTAAATCTTGTGTTATCCTGATTGTGTTTCCACAATACTTGAATTGTTTCTTTCTGGCTGCTTGCAATATTTTCTCCTTGACCTGGGAACTCTAGAATTTGGCTACAATATTCCTAGGAGTTTTCCTTTGGGGATCTCTTTCAGGAGGTGATCGGTGGATTCTTTCAATTTCTATTTTGCCTCTGGTTTGAGAATATCAGGGCAGTTTTCCTTGATAATTTCTTGAAAGACTATATCTAGGCTCTTTTTTTTTTTATCATAGCTTTCAGATAGTCCAATAATTTTTAAATTCTCTTTCCTGGATCTGTTTTCCAGGTCAGTTGTTTTTCCACTGAGATATTTCACATTGTTTTCTATTTTTTCATTCTTTTGAATTTGTTTTACAGTGTCTTGATTTCTCATAAAGTCACTAGCTTTCAATTGCTCCATTCTAATTTTTAAGGAAGTATTTTCTTCAGTAAGTTTTTGGACTTCGTTTTCCATTTGGCCAATTTTGCTTTTGAAGGCATTCTTCTCCTCATTGGCTTTTTGGACCTCTTTTGCCATTTGGGTTAGACTATTTTTGAAGGTGTTATTTTCTTCAGTATTTTTTGGGGTCTCCTTTAGCAAGCTGTTGACTTGTTTTTCATGATTTTCTTACATTGCTCTGTTTTTCCTCTCCTTCTCTTACTTGCTTCTCAAAATCCTTTTTGAGCTCTTCCATGGCTGGGGACCAATTCATATTTTTCTTGGAGTCTTTGGGTATAGGAGCTTTGACTGTGTTGTCTTCTGGTTGTATGTTTTGATCTTCTTTGTTTCCAAAGAAAGATTTTATGGTCTGACTCTTTTTGCACTGCTTGCTCATGATCCCAGCCAATTGCTTGAGTTATAAACTCTTTGTTAAGGTAGAAGTCTGCTTCTAGTGTGAAGACTGTACTGTCCCAAGCTTCGGGGGGTTTGTGCAGCTGTTTTCAGAAGTGCTTCTAGGGACCTGAAAATTTTCAGTTCTTCCAAGGTGTTATGATCAAGGGCAAGGTGTTTACTCCTTTCCTGGCCTGTGCTCTGGTCTATGAGTGACCACAAGCACTTTTTTTCTGCCTTGGAACTGTGAGGAGGATTTCCTCTCCACAGCCACTACAAGCTCTATCACGCCAGCACTTCTCCTTGCCCCAGGATCACCACCCAGAACTGTGACCTAGATCCAAACACGGGCAAATTAAGAGAATCCTGCCGCAGCAGAGAAATCCCTGCAAACCCCCTCTAATCAGCTACTCGATTCCCTGTCAGTCTGTGGGCCAGAAGCTCCAGAGGCAGCTGCTGCCCTGGGGCCACATTTGGGGACTGGAGCTGGAACCCCAACGTGCTTCCTTTTCTTACCGCAGGCAAAGACTTTTCCTACTGACCTTCTAAGTTGTTTTTGGCATTCATGGGTTGAGAGGTCTGGAAACCACCACAACTGCCCATGATTCAGTCCTCTGAGGCCTGCTCCCAGTTTGCTGAGACCTGTGCACCCACGCTGAACTGTGCTTTTCTACCAGCCTGGTGCAGTATACCTTTCTGATCAACCATCCAGGTTGTCTTGGGCTAGGAATTTGTTTCACTATGTCTTTTTGTGGGTTCTGCTGTTTTGGAATTTATTTAGAGCCATTTTTTACAGGTATTTGGAAGGGTTTGGGGGAGAGCTCAAGCAAATCACTGCTTTTACTCTGCCATCTTGGCTCTGCCCCCTAAATGAGCTAATTTTAAAGCCTTTCCCAAATGATATTTAGTGGTGTGCTTAGTTTGTGCAGCTAATCTTATGAATATACGTAGGATAATTTTAAGAATCAGAGATAGGATGGAACTATAAGAAAAAGTTTCCTATGGGGCAAAAGTAAATGCCAGTTGATCACTCTTTTCAGCAGTGGATCCTTTAATGTGATGCATTGAACTATCACTTTAGGAGAATGTTGTAATGAATAATACTCAGTTGAAAACTCAGTATTGATCTTGATAATGTGTGTAAACCTTTAAGTCCAATTCAAGCCAAGCAACTGATCACAGAGAATTAAGTCAAACACTTGGGAGTTTTGCTATATAAACCAAAAATAAATTTGTTGATTTTTTATTTGAACATTTATGTTAAAATTATATGACTAAAATAGCTCAATGAGTTCTCTATCATATTTCCACATGTTCAAAGTGATCTGTATAGTTTATAGTGGTAGAAACTACAAAAGTTACAGTTATGGTATAGTAGAAAGACCACTGAACTTTTTCCTAGAACTCAGTCAGAACTGGGGCTGAATCCTAATTCCAACACTTATTAGTAGGATGAGATTGATGGCAAGCAGATTACTTCACTTATCTGAACCATAGTTCCCTCATTTATAAAATGAGGATAAAAATATTTGTGATATCTGCCTCACAGCATTGTTTGGGGGAAAAAAAAGCATTTTATAAACTATAAAGCACTATAAGCAAGTTGTCATCATCATTATTTGTTGTTACATTTGAGTCTGGATCTGTAACTTTATTGGTGTAGGGAACTTCCAGTGAGGAAAGTCATTCTGCCAGTGCAGTTTTGTTATTTATCATCTTAAAGAGATGCCTAGGGCCCTTAGAAATTAAGTGACTTGCCCAGTGTCAACTAGCTAAAATGTGCCAGAGGTAGGTCTTGAATCCAGGTCTTCTTGACTCTGAGGCTGGTCTTCCATTACACCATTTTTGCCTCTCATTTCTAATTAATCAATTAATGATAGCTAAAATTAATTGTACACTAGAAATTTACAATCATTTATAAGTCAACAGGCAATACATAATACTAATAGACCCTCCCCCCCATATGCTTGAGAATTCAGCACATCACCTGTACTGGAACCAGAACATCATTACAAATAGAACTAGGGCCCCCAACTACCTAACCATAAACTTGATCCAGAGAAACTTAAGAACAATCTTTCTAATAGATATCCGCATGCCAAATACTCATAATTTCCAAACTATATGAAAGGAAAAGGTTTCAAAATATAAAAATCTAGTGAAAGATATTAGAACCACATGGGAGCAGAATAGGTACATATCATCCTATGAAGATGCTTTCAGTCAGTTTACAAGAGGTGCACTTAAATTCCAATACTCTTATCAGTTATGAAAAGCAGATATGCATAATAGTCTTCAGAGTTTTAAATATAAAAGAATAATAGCAAGATAGCAATTTATCTTCAAAACATTTCTATCCAAACTTCATCAAAAAAGGCTTTAAGAAGTACTTCTCTGCTTGACAAGAAGCTTAAATGTATACTATTACTGAAATTAGTCTTGCCTCCTGCAGGAATTATTTCAATTTCAAGGTACAAAGGAGAAGGACCTATGTCAGACTTTACCTCATGAGTATCAGTCCAATTCTATACTAGCTCTTGTTTCTCTAGTTTAAGAGAAAAAATAAAATTCAGTGTAGTCATCGTCATTAAACCACTACAATTATTTAATTTTATTCTGTGATATAATAATCTTGAACCACTAAAACATAATTTGGGAATTGAGAGGTAGCATAGTATAATATAGTAGAAAAGCACTAGATAGTGCCTTCGAGAAGACCTGGATCCAGGACTTTATTTGGCCATTGACTAGCTTTGTGAGTTTAAGTAAGTTGTTTAACTTTTCTTACCTTAAGCTTCGTTGTCTATATAATAGAGATAGAGACTGTACTTGTGATTTTAGTTTTGTACGGAATTCCTAACTCCTTCTATCAGTGCATATTGACACCACCTTTGCAATATATAATCTTAGAGTTGCCTACTAGAGTACTGAGAGGTTAAGCCGGCTAGAGGGAGCCGGAGGCAGGGGCGGCAGCGGCTAGCTTCACGTGGGCGCAGGAGAATCGGCGGCGGCGGGCGGCCCGTGGCGCTCTTTGGTGGTCACGATGAGTTTACCCCTCAACCCCAAACCGTTCCTGAATGGACTGACAGGGAAGCCGGTGATGGTGAAGCTTAAGTGCGGAATGGAGTACAAAGGTTACCTGCTCTCTGCGGATGGCTACATGAACATGCAACTTGCAAATACAGAAGAATACATAGATGGGGCATTGTCTGGACACCTTGGTGAAGTTTTAATAAGGTGCAATAATGTCCTTTACATCAGAGGTGTCGAAGAAGAGGAAGAAGATGGGGAAATGAGAGAATAACATCTTTTCTGGGGTGGGGTGGGGTAGGGGTTTCTTTTGTATATTTCTAGAATTACAACATTGCTCAGAATTACACAACCAGTGTACTATCTTGAGTTAGAACTTGAACTTAGGTCTTTCTACCTTCGATGTCAATTCTATAGCTACCAAGCTATGCTGCCACTTTGTCTGCAAAACAAATATACTTACACTACCTACCCCATAGTGTTTTTGTAGTGGAAGTGCTTTATAAACCAAGGTTATTATTTTCACAATTTCAAAATTGATGATGGATTTTCGTGAAAATAAATAATTGGAAAGTTATTCAATAGATTTAGTGAACTTAAATGAAGAAATAAGTATTCAGAACTAAAAAATATTATATACTCATTGAACTTCATTTCCTCCTCATCAACATCTTTCCCATTCTGGAGAAACCAACCCCATGTGACTCCATTATAATCTGTCCCTATCCTTTTCTTCTGGCAGCTTCCTCCCTCAGTCTGCCCTCCCTCTTATTACTATCCTTCCTTTCCCTTAACCCCTTCCCCTCCAACTTCCTGGGTAAGATGAATTTCTATACCCAATTGAATGTGTATATATAATTCCCTTTTTGAAAGCATTTCCCCCTCCGTTGTAACAACTCTTCCTTGTATGCCTGTTTTGTGTGAGATAGTTTTCCTCACTCTTCCTTTCCCTTCCTCTTTCTCTTAGTACATCCCTCTTTCCCAGTCTTCCATCTATCCTAATCCCCTCAATTTCCTCAGAGATATGTGATAAAGATAATGATTTATTAACAGTATGTCACTGAATTAGTCTTTTGAAATGTAATCACTCAAGGTCTCTATTACTTTGAATGATTGAAATCCCTACTCCACACCTCAGAACCCCTCTATACTTGTTTGTTTTTCTTTTGCTCTAGGCTCTGATGGGAAGGTAGATCATATCCTTGTCAAGACCAGTCTCACTATTCGTGCTCATGCTCACACTCCTATTTCTTCCAGTTTACCTCATTCCTTCTCTCATCTTTAGCTTATTCCTATATATCCCTCTTTCTACTACTTCTATAAACACACCTGCCTAGGCTTCAAAGCCCTATCCTTAAAAAAGTCTTTATGTCAGTCTGCCATCCCCTCTAACTGTATACAGTTTTATATATCTCCTTCCATTCTCTGCCCTGCTGAAGTCTTGGAAAGAACTGTTTATGCTTGTTGCCTCCATTTGCTTAGTCCCTTACTGTCTGACCTTTGATCCTACCACTCATAAAACTGATCTCTTAAAGGTTACCAGTAATCTCTCTAAAGTATTATTTATGTTGATTTGTTTTGGTTTTCTATGACACACATTTTCTAATATATTCCTCCCCCATCCTGATGCAGCAAACTGTCTTTTGAAAAAAGAAACAGAAAGCAGATTGGTAAAATCAACCAACCTAAGTCATGTCAAGAGTATTTTTTAGAATAATACTCCACTTCTTTTAATTTCTCAGTATTGCTAGTTTTTAATTTTGTATTTTGACACTTTTATTATGATTTTACCTTGTTTTTTATTTTATTTAATTTCCCTTTATTTTCTTTTTTATCATTTTGTTTGGTTTATTGATTTTTATTAAATCTTTTTTTTTGAAAAATCGCATTTTAACTTTGCATAACATTTCTATAGACTTTTCTGCAGTATTGTCCATTTTTTCCATTTCTCCTCTGATTTTAAGATTTCCTCCTTTTCATTTCTTTTAGGTTTGCTTATTTAATTTCTAATTTTTAAAAACTGAATACTCATTTCATCAAACTTCTCTTTTTCTGATTTCTTAATGTGTATTTTCAGAGAGAATTTTCTTCTGAGGAATGCTTTGGCTACATCCCATTTTGTTTTGTTTTGATCTCATTGTTATTATTCTCTTTCACTTAGTTATTGTTACTGTGATTTGTTCTTTGACTCCCTCATTATTAAGAATGCTATTTTGAAGTTTTCGTTTTGTCTGTATTCTCTGCATTAATAACTTTCTTGTTTTAATGTCTATAAAAGGGTATGTATAGTTTTGTGGAAATTTTTCCTATTTACATTTACTTGTTATTTCTTTATCCCTTAGTACATGGTCTGTTTTTGTAAAGGTGACATGAAGTGCTAAGAAATACATATATTCTCATCCCCATTCAGAAAATAGCTTAAGCCTTTTGGCTTTAACTTCTCAAAGAGTTTTTTTTTAAGTTCTATTTTCCATTTGTTTTTCTTTCTGTCATTCAGTTATATTTCTCTAGCATTAGCAGAGGAATATTAAAGTCTCCTGCTATTATTATTACTATATGTGTCTTTTTTTAATTCATGTAACTTTTTCTGAATTTAGATGCTATGCCATTTAATCCATATGTAATTAATTTGATGATGGCTTATTGTCTATAGTTCCTTAAAGCATAATAGTTTCCCTGTATATCCTTTATTATTGTAAATTTTTACTTTTGCTCTATCTGATAGCATCTGATAGCAACTCCTTGTTTAGAATAATTTGACACATAGTAAATTTTATTCCAGTCTCTCACTTTTATTCCATAGGTTTCTTTTTTAGTTGTGTTTCTGGTGTGCAACAGATGATTGGGTTTTGGATTTTTTTTTCATTCTACTACTCTTTCCTTGTATTGAATTATTTAATATATTCAAATTTAAAATTATGATTGTTAGGCTTGTGTTTTCTCCATTATTTCTTTTGTATTAATTTGTATTACTTTTAAGATATGTTGTCCTTGTGATCAGTTTTGCTTTTACTCTTTAATGTTAGTCTGTTCCCACAAGCTCTCTGCATTTAATTGGCCAATCAACCAACAAGCGTGTGTTAAGCATCTACTACATGCTAAGTATTTTACTAGACGCTCAGGATAAAAAGACAAAAATGTGCCAGTTCTTGCTGTCAGGGAGAAGATAATATGTGTGTGTGTATATACATATATATATATATGTATGTGTGTGTATATACATATATATGTATATGTATGTGTGTGTATATACATATATATGTATATGTATGTGTGTGTGTAGATGTGTGTATGTATATGTGTATATGAGGAAATAATACAAGGAATAATAATATAAAGAAAGCCTTAGTGTAGAAGTTGGTGCTTGAGCTATGTCTTTATGGAAGTAAGGGATTCTACAAGATAGAGGTGAGTAGGGAGTATATTTCAATCATGTCTCTCAATTAGAAAAGACAATTCATGAAGAAAGTAACATTGGATGGAAGCAGTGTAATGTGATAGGAGTCACTATGTGCCCTGAGTTATGAGGCCCAACCCTATCTCTATCCTTAATATGATTGGTCTCCATTCTCAAAACCATTTTGTTGTAGCTTTGTTTAATGTCTACTCCCTCACCACTCTGAACTCTGGCTGCTCTTCAAGTCTCATACATCCTTTCACTTGGGATGGGACAGTGTGTAGGGAGGTGTAATTCTTTCTAAAAGAAGGTAATCTCCTAATGTGCTAATTCTTCCCAGACAAAATTCATTCCAAGGTCTCTTTCTCATACTACAGACATACATTTATTTCTTCTACCATCAAAATATTCTTTAGTTAGCATCCTTTCTTTTTCCCTTTTAGAGCATGAACATATCCCTTGTACTTCTTCTATCCCAGTTACCTTATCCGTTGCTTTTATCCTGTCCTCCAATAGCCGTCACTCCCATTGCAAAACTAAAGGAATTGTTATTTTTTTCTTGTTCTCCTATGGACTTGGAAGAAGTAAATCACCCACACCTTTCTGTTACTTATCTCCCCATTCATACAATTTCCTATTCTTATTACCTGCCACAAAAAAATAATGTGTCAATTATATAAGGAATACAGGGAATTTAGAACTTGGACTCTTAAACTCTTTTTTTGCTTTCCATCTCCTGATTCTTTAAGTTCCCTTTCAGCGTATAGCCTTTTAGATACTTTTTGTCCCTCAGTGATCTGTCCTTGTTCTATTTCGAATAGATCAGTCTTTAAAAAAATACCTTTAATCCTGAAAGATTTGGATTCATCACTTAATTATTTTCCCTTGGTAACTGTACTTTTCTTTCTTGTGCTTCTGTTGTTTGTAAATTGAATAGCCTGCTTAACACAGGGAGAGTGTTTTGGTGGGGCAGCTAAGTGGCCCAGTGGATAGAGCATTGACCCTGAAGTCAGGAGGACCTGAGTTCAAATCCAGCCTCAGACCAAACACTTGACACTTACTAGCTGTGTGACCCTGGGCAAGTCACTTAACCCCAATTGCCTTTAAAAAAAGAGAGAGAGTGTTTTGGGAGTGTTTCCGGAATTTGTTCTTTTGGATTGTAGCTTGAGTTCCTTGCTTTTTGGATTATATTGTTCAACTCTCTTCTTTTATATTTAATGAATATGGAATAATCCTTAATTATTTGAATTAACTTTCTTTTGAATGCTTGACAAATTTGTTGTTATTCAAAATGTTAAATTTAACCATTTTTTAACCTTTGAAGTGGAAATAGATTTTTTTTTTCTGGAAGTGACTAGTAGATTCTCTCAGTCAGTTCTTTGTTGTTTATATTTTTTAAATTGTCAATTATTTCTTGTATTATTTCCTGCAGAATGATATCCAGATTTTTAAGATTTGTTTTATTCTTCTAGAAAAACTGTGATCATTGAAGTATCTATGTTCATTTAATCATCAAGGTCAGTTGACTTGAATTATGTAAAATTCAGGTCTTCTGTTAACTTTGTTGTCTCTTTATTCTTCTGCAAAATTTTCTTCCATTTCAGCATTTTTGTGTTTCAGATCTTTATTTTTCCTCTCAGTGTCTGCTTCTTTAGAAGGATTTTCTATTGTGTACTCAGTTTTTCTTGCTCTGCTATTTGTATTTTTAATTCTGCATTGAGAACTCTGATTTCTGAGTTAAATTCATTCCTCATTCTTTTAAAAATCCTGTTTCCCTTTTGAAGTATTCTAGAGTTTCTTGAAGTTTTATGATCTTTGGGAGTATCTGCAGGATTCTTTCCCAACAGTCAGTCAGTAAACAAACATTTATTACATGCCTACTATGTGCTA